ATATATATATATATAAGATCCACCAACACGAGTTTCTTGACTAATGGCTCCAGTTCAAGCTTGTACACTGTGAAAATAGAACATGGTCTATGTAAAGCATCAGTTCAAACTTCTACACTGTTAAAACAGAACATGGTCTATGTAAAACTTCATGTGCTTATTTTTTTCATGTGAAGGGATTGTCACCTATCTAATAGGACAGTGATTAAGCCGCCTTTGGTCATTCTTGGCCACGTGCCTAAAGGAATAGAATAAAATGAAATAAAAATAAAAGATTCACCAACTCGAGCTCTTTCACAAATGGCTCTTGTTCAAACATCTACACTGTTATGATTTTGATGAGATACGAAAGCCATAAATTAAGGTCTACCTAGCTAGATTACATAAGTTCCATTGTATTTTTCTTGTACTTTCGATATCAAACTGGCCATTAAAAAGAAATAAACTGTTAATATCATAAACAAAAATTCTCACTAATTACCTCCAATTTGTATCCAATTGGTTGCAATCTTTTACTATATTATTTAATCATGCAAACAAACATACTAGTTAAATAATAGTACTGTAATATTAACCTGGTAATTGTATAACAATATAACACTTATAACAGTACTATTAAGCCTCTCTGAGATAAATAACTGGATCTTTACAAACATGAATCTGACAGCACATTATTGGTATGAACCATGATCACAATACTCCTATATTAAATAATATTGCTACCTGTAGACTAGTTTAGATATGGAGGTGATATGTCTCCATGGTTTAAATTATAGGCGTACATGAGTAGACTAAAATAGACGGATAGTGTTCCTTTCCCCTGATCCATTCTTCTCTTATGTTGATATCATGGAGGTATACAAATATCAATAAATAACTGAGATTTGCCTAATTCTCACAAGATTCAAAACCTCATTATTACCTAAGCACATTTGCTTATGGATTATTTTATGTCAAAACTGCATATTACTCTTTATTTACAAATTTGCATTCAAACCATTTACACAAGGGATTTCATATATCACTATACAAACACTAAACAACATGCATGTATTATGCTAATATGATATGTTTTTTTCAGATACTAGGTCTATGTAGAAACTATAGAGGCCTATACTATTGTCCGGTTCACAATAGAAATTGCCTATAAAATGAATATATGAAACTTGTTGAAATATGATTTAAAGGGATTTCATATATCACTATACAAACACTAACAACATGCATGTATTATGCTAATCTGATGTGTTTTTATTTTCAGATACTAGGTCTATGTAGAAACTATAGATAGGCCTATACTATTTTCCGATTCACAATAGAAATTGCCTATAAAATGAATATATGAAGCTTATTGAAATATGATTTAAGATAGTTGATTCAGCATCAATAAATCCCTAGTTTCTACAGGCAACTCGTGTGAGCCTATGATTTTCTTCTTATCGAGCCAACGTACTAGATGTGTTAGAACCACTACTAAACATCTCTTCGCCTGTTATAAAAGGCAAGATCTAAAATGATGCAGGTTTCATCTAATAGGTTAAACTGCATTTCAAAGGGTGTTGTATGGTGAGGTTCATCCCCACATCCACTGTTTTGGGTTGGTGGAATATGGGCCAAATTGTGAAACGTTCAGTTGTAGCTGGCCTACTCCAGTGCTAAAGCAGATAGTTAAGCCAAAATAACTATGCCAACACAATGAAACCAAGGCCTATTTAAAGATTGTTACAAATTATGAATCCAAGATGGGATGAGGAAAAAGTATTAAAATCTTGACTATCAGGAATCAAATATTTACAAATGATAAATTGAAAAATACCTGGAGGGTGAGGATATATTTTTACTTGTGCTTAATCCGATTGATATGTTGAGTCATGAGACTATCATGGACATTTTTTTTTTTTGAAAACTGCCCGAATATAATCCGTTGAGGGAAAACTAGATTTCAAGTTACCATATTGCTATATTAATTTAAATTTAAACATATGTATTTAATTATGTTCAATTTTACACATTTAATTCTCTAGTATGGCCTACGCCATGTTTGATTCTAACAACAAGACCGAATCAGTTTTTTTTCCTCGCAACGATGTAAATTCCTATAGTTTGGTCGTATCAAAATATTTCGTTTTGTGTTTCTTTTGTACTGAGTGTTGCTGCTGAATAGCCTCGAACAATAGGTCCATGCTTCACTTATAATCTGTAAAATAAAGCAGTCTGCCTGCTCAGTTGGCCATTCAGGGGTCTAATCCTAGTTTGTTCACAGTATGTAGGTAATGTCAAATTCTTTACTCAAATGCTTGAGGGACAGGCTCGTGAACCACACTTCACCTTTAATTGTTGTCAACTGGCAACAATACTATTCTTAACCAAAAGCAATTGAGAAACTCTGTGATATTTTGTTTCAACGAAGAAACCTAAAAGTGCATAAGATGAATTAGTTTCAACTGCACCTATTTCATAAGTTACGCCATTACGCCAGTTACACCTCTACTTCAATTTATTTTTGTAACTTTGCTCTGTAAAAATTCTTGTAATTGTTACGCATTTCGTTGTATTTTAATTATAATGTTATAAATATGGCGCTATGTTTAGTTTACCCTTTTATTTATACTGATTTTAATTCTCCAGTTTAAGTAAATTGAATAAGTACCTGTAATTTAGTATAGAAAAAGGAACTCTTCAAAATTTACCTAAACATTTTTTTTGACATTTGAAATACCATAATATCGTGTCATCAAAATTAATTTAATTTAAATAATACCAGTAATGAAAATTTTAGTTAAGCGTTTGTTAAATATAAGCAAAGAATACTTAATATAGGAAAGGCTCTAGAAAATCCAAAGTTATAGGTTAATGTATAAGCCTACATAGGCCTATTTCAAAACAAGCTTCCAAGGTCACGATGATCATATTTGTTGTTAATTAAAACTTTTGTATTATTAAACCTCGGCATATAGCAAATTCCTCTTCAAACTTACATGCCATAAATAATTTTTAACGAACAGATTTCAATAAAATTCATGATAAATTATATACATCTTACTCCCTAAGAATTCTGAGAAAGTAAATATTGACATAAAACTATCAAGTCAGAAATCAGATATTAATTACTGTGTTCATATTTGCACTATTAGTCCGTGCTAAACAAGGTGATTATTAAGGAAAATCAGTGGTTATTTCTGTTCAACTCAAAATGTTTCCATTATAATTTTGCTGTGATTTCTAAAAATAGATTTGTTATACCATGAATATTTAGAAACTAAGGATGGTAGATCAGCAGTAACAATTGATGATTATTTATGTAGGCCTATTCATGATATGCAAATATTTATGGCCCTTTTAGAATGGATGGCAAAACGGAAAATGCTATAGTAAATGAACCTTTATGACGAATCACCATGGACAACACTGATTCAAATACAATATTATATTTATGCAGATGGAACTCCAAGCGATGAAAATGAATCGATGATTCGGCCTCAATTATTTTAATTTTTGT